CCCCCCCCCCCCCCCCCCCCCCCCCCCCCCCCCCCCCCCCAAAAAAAAAAAAAGGCACTCACAACCACCCACACACGAGCAGAGAGAGAGGGAGAGAGAGAGAACCTGGAATTCTTTAAAGTATATAAAACCTGTACAAATGGAGAAGAAGGTCCAAGCTATCTGAAACATGGGAACAATAAGGATTGCATCAAACAGTGAAAGTCCTTCATTCAACCTGGCCATCTGTAGAAATAGATAAAAAAAAATCCAGAAATAAAAGTTAAACATATGATGTTCATTTACATTAGTAAAATAATATGAAAACATGGAAGAGGAAAAGCACAGTCCCATAATGACCTTACCCAAAATCCCGCAGTACTGAGAAACAAAAGCAGTAAGGAGTATGTAAACCAGCTATGCAGCTGATAATCACTAGACATGGCCAATCGGAGCAGTATTGAGCTAAAACAGATAACTCGACATCAGAAAGAGAAAGCTAAAAGGAAATATAAGTGGGTTCAGCACCTACAGAAAAAAGGGACAAAAAAGTCAGCGAACTTACAGAGATTTTGCAAACAAGACTGAGCAAGAGCCTATTGCACCTGAAACTATAGCATAGGAAAATGGTAGCAGCATATGCCAATACGGTCTGAGATCTTGTCCAGAAACAGAAAGTAACATCTCTCCCCTTCTGCACGTTTTTTCCATACAGGATACTATTATCAACACGAAGCTTCATATAAAGTAAGAAAGAAAGAGTCTATTTTAATTCTGACCTATAGATTGAGTGATGTATAGCAACAACCAAGATCAAAATCACGCAGTATAGAAGGAAAGTAATGTTTCCGTATTTTTCCACCAGCTGTTCTGAAGTGTACACTGAAAAAGAGAAAACCAAATACGAACATTCATTATTTACAAGCAGATTAGATCAAATAATCCATTGCATAAATTATTTTCTGCACTACCACCCTGTAAACCCTTTTTTACCTAATTTTTCTCATCTAAGTAGCAGTCAGAAAGAACGCCTCTTTGGTTAGTAATCTACTATAAAGTTGTTAACGATTGTAGGCTTCACAAGGTAAAATAAAATGTTATGGGCAACAACCCATTACTAAGCCACGGTTCAACAAAGCTTCATGGTACTTGTATATCACCCCATAGAGTTAGTATTTAAACCACACAGCATATTGACAGAGGAAATGCATTCAAAGACAAGTTAGTATCTACCGAAGGCATTGTTGCTAAGAGTATATGCAGCATGTACATTCAAAGAATTGGTACATTTTGCCATATTTAATGCATTAATAGCATTGAACAAAAGGAAATGTGGACATTCATCCACCAAAATCAACATAAGCAGTCGAAAAGATAAAAAAATATTTCACCATTTTATTTATAAAACTCGAAAGTAGAAAGCATCAACTATGGAAGAAATGGTAAGCAGAAACTGTAACCAACACTAAACGTTTTAAAGCATTCTTAATCAATTTTTTCCCAGACAGGATAAGTGATCCTGAATGGTCAGAAGTGCTGAACAAAAATAAAGCACCATCATAATGCAAGTTTCATGATATTGGGCAGCTGACTCCTAATTTTTTTTATGGGGGTTTGAATCATCATCTTTTAAGCATACTTGATGATATAGGCCAAGTTCCAACAATGGCCCATCGGTAAAAAATTTAATAGATGGCACTCTGAGAGAATTATTAAATGATCATTTCCTCCATATCATAGTAGCTTCATGGAAAACTCAAAATAGACATTCTTGACATTTCGTATTGGAAGGAAAAGACAATAGAACTTGAAAGATATATAAATCAAAAGTAAAACATCTACCAGGGGACTGATGGTTGCCAAAAGCAACTAGAAAAACATTTCCAAGAACAATAAAAGCAGTGGCAACCATTACCCTGCAAAAGAAGCAATGCAATCATTGACCATTAAATTAGAAATAAAGATGATGAAAACCCGTTAGCTCAGCCTTCATGGTTCCAAAGACATGTATGACTAAAGGTGTCAACATACTTAACAGTAACCATCTTGTGGAGTACGAAGTATGCAAAAGCAATATTGGACACAAACTGAACAGATCCAAGTGCTGCAAGAAGAGACTGCAGGGCAGGGCAGGGGGGAGAAGGGGGAAGAAAATAAAATTAGAAAAAAGTGGAACAGGAAATACACGACCAGTAGAGAAGTAAAACATCTATAAACATTGCAAATAACGAAAATTCACATATATATCCCTACAATACCAATATATTCACGTTGTGAAATGGGATAAAGCAATTTCTACCAACCTGGGCAGCATATCCGAAGGAAATAAAATTAAGGCAATTTCCAAGAATGAAAAATGTAATACCTGTACAGCAAAGCTTTCAAGTTATAAATAAGGAATTAGGTTTCAAATGTACTCTTCTTCCAAAAAAGTTTTAACATTTAAATGCCTATAATGAATTGAACACCAGAAAATGACTTACCAACTCTCCAAGCCTGAAAGTATATTATGGGTTTCATTGGAGCCTTTCCATTAGAACCATTGTTTTCAAGTACAGAATGCTTCTCTCTCTGCAAGGATATTTTTAAAACCAGGGGACATGTAACATGTAACAAATAACAACACTGTAGCATGAAACAATGAATGACAAAAAAGGGTGATCGAGTGGAGTATAATTGAGCTCAACTAGCTATGCAGCTTAAAAGTTTGGCGGGCTATCACTTACCAAGCCAAAAAGGGCAACGGGTTTACCACTTTGAAGTAAAACTTTTTTTTTTTCTTTTTTTGGGAAGAATATATGACATTTATGTTTTATGATGCATGACACACTAAAACCTGCCGCTAAAGCTCTTAGAGCATGCCTGTATTGCATCCTCAAGAAAAATGTGTAAACGAAATGCTGTCTACAAAGAACAACGGCAACAACAAGTAGTTGCAGAGAACTTAGCTAGACAGTGTAGACCAAGAGCAAATCATAGAGAAACCAAACAGAAAAAAAAAGGAAAAGGGATCTCTGCAAACCTCGTTATGGCCTAATTTAAGAAGGTTCGTCCCAAAGTTGATGGCAAGGCTGCCAAAGAGGTTGATGAAAGCTCCAATAACCCACTCCCCCATAAATTAGAGCGGGGTAAGTGAATTTGCATACAGCTTAATATCCCAGCCTGAGGTTGAAAAGCAGCAAAGAAGTAAATGCCAAGAGGTAAGACAGTGTCAATTGCCCATGAGGATAAGCACGAGAAGTTTAAAATTCCAAAGCAATAAAAAACGAGCTCAAAAGGTGAATCTCGAGTAAGTGTCAACGGCTGGAAGATCCTAAAATTTTGAGCATTATCAGAATTTTGAGCCAAGCTCGAAAGAAAACATCAGCTCGTAATCGTTACAACAAAAAGCAGAATATCGATTCCGAAATGGAACGGAATAGATTCGAAACATAACACTCCCTGCAACCCGGGTAGGGGTGCTTTAATATGAACGCATAGGGCAAACAACTGTTACAGCTTACAGTCGTAACAAATTCAGAAACAAAAAAACGGACCCAGAGAGAGAAATTCAAGAACATGTAGAGAAATTGAAGAGAAAAGAAACAGGCAACACAGAAGTAAAGATGACAGAGACATGGTAACGAGGGATGAACAGGGTAATTCCTGAACAAGATCTGAAGGCGAAACAATGGATCTAAATGTAAAGAGTAAAATAGACGGAAAGAAAATTGGAAATGTAGAAGATAAAGTAAGTAAAGTCGATTGAAGCAAGAATGAAGAGATGGGGATGAAGGATTACCTGTGGGAAGATCCGTCACTAGAGATGGAGCGCAGAAGAGAGGAAGTCCAGCATTGAGAAGGAGGGAGGAATTAGGGTTGAGCGGAGCTGCTTCCCACCGAAGGCAAAGGGAAATTTGGAAACCGCCGGAGTCCGTGGTGGGCGGCGAGAGGAAGAAGGCTTTGATGAAGAAAATGAAAAAGGAACGCTTGAAAAGAAAGGCACGGCCGGCGTCGTTTACTTAACTGTCGCCTGACCATCGGCTAAGCTCCGGACTACACTAATAACGACACACGTGTCACTTGGGACCCACTTTCGTATTTTGCTTAATCATCTAATCTTCTTTCAAATACTTTATTCTTCAACGTTAAGAGCACAAACTTAGATGCTCAACTTATAAGTTAAGTCCGCTCAGCTCGGTTCGACTCGATAAATGTGATTGAATTGGTCACAATTACCCGAGTTAAGTTTGAAGAAATTTTATGACTGACCCAAAATTTTGGATTCATCTAGCTGGTTACCCAAATGAATAAAATATAGTAGAGAATCCAACTCAACCATCTCATGTTGTATTAATAACTAGAATCTCGTAAAACTTAATTATCGAACATCTACCAATCACATCCTTAATGTTCGTAGCAATCCAAGAAGTAGGGTAGGGTTAGAAGAAATTTTTGGACTAATCCAAAATTTAGGTTGATCGGATCGACCCGGCCAAGAAATCTCAACTTGTTAATCGAATAGTTTTCAAAACTCATGAAAATCCTAACCCAACTCTTACATTTGGGATGAATGGATTCATGTTAGTATCGGGTTTTGAACACCTTTAAACTAAATTTTCGAACGCATTAAATGATGAAACCAATGAGTTTGAGCATTCATGTCAATTTGTTTCGTTTCATTTCCTGTTATTGACTTAAGAACAGATATTGAATATGTCATAAACATGTGAAAGTCATCAATCCATTAAGCAAAACATTGCCCCAAATAACAACAGGAAAGAAAATGAATCAGTTCTTCATTCTGAAACCCCACCTGATAGTTAGTAATCCCAACACAAACACAAAACCAAAATCAACACAAAGAAGGACGCTCACGAGAGAGTTTCAAGTTTTCCGACGAGTTGATGGGGGAAACCTATAGAAAGGGCGGGACGACCCGAGGTGATGGCATGTAAATAAAGAACAAAATGTTGCTTGAACAAGAACAATCCAGGTTTCAGGAGTACCACCGGTGGAACTTCAACCATTGATTCTGGAACTTTGACGGCAAAGCGCCGGACCGTCCTATCGAAGAAAGAGATCACTAAACCAATTTTGCCGAGATAAGGTGTGGAACCTTCGTTTTTTTAGTAATAATTCCTCAGGAATTGAGAAGGAAAAGAGATGAGAATCAAGCTCCTAGGAAGAATGCGAACAGACATCTACATCTACCTCAGCTCATTTCATCTCATACTTCAGCATTTCAGAAACCAAACTCATCAAAGAAGTTCAAGTAGTGGAAGTTCTTCAACTAAAGACTAACATGAACATTCCTCTTTCAACTTCAATTCAAGTTAAGGCCAGGGTACCCAAAAAGCATAAGCATCAGAGCATCAGAACTAAACAATGATATAACCCAAGAAGCAGAAAGCCAGCAAGAATCCAGTTCAAACAGCCATAAAGTAGGAAAGAACTATAGCACTTTGTTCCTCTTTCACATTCAATTCAAGTTAAGGCCAAGGTACCCAGAAAGCATAAGCATCACCGGCATTAAACCGTAACAGCCCAAGCTCACTGCTAGTCGATGTTGTCCTATTCGGACTTTCTCTCAAGGTTTTTAAAAGACATTTACTAGGGAGATGTTTTCACGTCCTTATAAAAAAAATGCTTAGTTCTCCTCCCCAACCGATGAATGTGAGATCTCACAAAAGAATGATAACCCAAGGAGCAGAGAGGCAGCAAGAATCCGGTTCAAACAGCAATAAAGTAGGAAAGAACTATAGCATTTTGATTCTTAATCAAATAAGAAGGCCCACAGCACGTTAGGGACATTAATTCAAGAAGGAATTGATTGCTGTAAACCCTCAAATCTAGCTACTGAATAATCATTTGCAAAAAGGTTCGGTAGGGAAGGGGGGGGTCAGGATCAGATTATACAGAGGACATTCCATTGATACCAAACCGAGAGGCACATAACAAAAAAAAAAAATTGCACAAAATCTTTGATTGCAATAACCAGCCGTGCGCAGCTAGAACAAGAACAAGAGTTGAAGAACAAAGATAAAGAAATAAGCCAACCAAATAAAGAGGATTAAGCCTGGGTGCCCGTCAATTCTTTCATCTGTATATGATTGTTTTCCCCCATGGCAGTAGCTGGTAAAGCTTCGTAAGACCCAACTCTCCTTACGCCAACAATCTTGGCAATGACAGCATAAATGAGTATCACAATCAGCAGAACAAACATAACGTGGATCAGCAAAGCCAGATCCAAAATGGCAACAGCCCTGAGCCGGGATTCCTCCAAATCGCATTTGGTGGATCCCTCCACGCCGTTCACCACGTCAAGCAACCTGTGACACCCTTCAGGAATGAAGGCCTCAACATAGAGCGAAAGCCCCGTTTGAAGCATCCAAAGACCCTGGAGGAAGAAAGTCGCCCCCAAACCCATATCGGCCACGAAGAGCCTCGGCAAGCAAGCAAGGACCAGGCAGATGAAGGACGCCAGAGCAGAGATTTTACCGGAGACGGAATCGCATTTCGCTTGAAGATCGGAGGTCTGGACAGAGGCAGCCGATGACGAAACGGAAAATTGCAAGAAGAATAAGGCGGAAGCTAGGGCAAAAAAGAGATCGGAAGGGAGAGGGAGAAGAGAGGTGGAATCGGAGAGGAGAAGAGCGAGAGTAAAGATGAGGAAGAGGAAAATAACAGCGGCGGATTGGAGAGAGATGAAGTAGTGGACGGGGGTGCTGCCCTTGAGGAGAGGGTCAGGGTCGGCGGCGACAATGGCCTGATGAGCAAAGGCGATAATGAGGCAAGGGATTGCGAGGTAGAGTTGCAGGTACCGGAGGCCGTAGTGAAGGGGAAGATGAAGCTGAAGCTGACGTGAAGAGGAAGGCGGGAAGGGATGGTAGGGCCTAGCGGAGTAGGTCTGAGGGAACTTAAGGAAATTGAGCGTAACGGAGACGATGTGGTAGAGCCCGAGCGACAGCAGCGCCGCCGATGAGAAGACATGGAATATCATAGCAGCCATTGTTCTTTCACTTTCTCAGAACACAGATTTAGAATCTGATTCAGATCCGAAAGCTTACGGACATGGTTGGATTTGAATAGTGCGTAACGAGTAAAGAGATGATCTGCAGCGTTTGTTTCGGGCGTCGCCGGAGCCGGAGAAATCCACCGGAGAAGGATAAAGAAGAAGAAGAAGAAGAAGAGCCGGATTATGCAGAAGACGGAGAAATGGTCTAAGCGAAACGGCGAGAAACGAGAGAGAAAGAGAGTTTTTTGTACTAAAAAAAAATATAGTTTTCTATTTTGATTAATTCCAACAGCATAATTAAACTGTCATGAAATCTCACCCAAAAATTTTAAAAATATATATAACAATGAGAAATATTAATAATATTTTATAAAAATTGTGTTATTTAGACTAATTATTAGAATTGTTTTTATTATATATTTTTAAAATATCTTTCAAATTTTAATTGTTTTTATTAATATCCTTAAATTTATCTTTAAAAAAATTAAAAATACTTTTAAATTTTAAAAGTTTTACGGTTAATATTATATATAGATTCTTTAATAATTAAGAAGTTGACTATTCACCAACATTAATAAAAAAAAAAATTAAAACATTAATAAAATTGAAATATATATGTATGTATGTATTAGAAAACTATTAAATAATTCGTATTTAACGAGTTAATATAATAGGTCAACCTAAGTTCACTTTAAAAACTTTGATCCAATGAATCAAGCTCAAGAACTATGAATTTAACTATTGAACGTTGGATTAACCCGCCCTATGCTCAAATAGTGCTTTAAGCCCGATGAACTTCCATACACTTTATAAGATCTACACGTCCCAACGATATGTTAGGAATCGACTCTCCACAATGGTATGATATTATCCACTTTAAGCATAAGCTCTCCTAGCTTTGCTTTGGGCTTTCCCAAAAGGTCGCATACCAATAGAGATAGTATTCTTACTTATAAACCCATGATCATTCCCTAAATTAGCCAATGTGAGACTCACTCCCAATAATCCTCCGACAACCTCATCATCGAAAATTAAGTAATTAAGTTTTTGTTATGGAAACTATTTGAATAAGAAGTTATTAAGAAATACAAGAAAACAGTTTCTTAAGTATTAATAATATGGGCAATGCTCAAAAGCTTCTTCAACTATGAATGGTTTGGATGATCCTATAAGACATTACAGAAGAAGATATGAAAAGGGAGTCCAAACCCTTCCTCTTGTTTGCAAGTGAGCGAGCCACTCACCCACATGTTGAGTTTACCCTTTCCCTCTTCATTAGGATAAGGCATATTTTCCAAATCCTAACCAAATTCATCACATAAAGGAAAAGGTAATATTGAGTCCTTCAATCTATCTACATATCTGAATCATGCTGTTCGACTGCTGCAAGGACGTTGCACTGTCGTCGTCGGGGATGGGGATCAAACCGACGACGTCTATTTGGAACAATCAGAATATATGGTGTTCTTCACAGTACTAGACATAATAGATCATCCCCACTTCAATTAGACTGATGTGAGGGATGTTGAGCGCCACAGATGGGCCTCGACAGTTCTTTCGGAGGAATGAGTACCCGATATCTATTACGAGCTTTTTCAAGTATGACGACGATCTTCTAGCCTTGACATATGAGTGTCCCATTATATATGCTACACCGGCCTCCTTGGCTTGGATCAAGTCCATCAACTCTTCCCTAACTCTAGGGTCTATTGAAGGGCTGGGAGATAGCTGAAACCGTACCTGGCGTCTTCTTAGTTGCGGATTCTCGTCATCATAGGCGGATCGTAAACTATGGAGTGTGGCAGATTTGCTGCTGAGGATGGAGTTGCTGGTACCAACTTCTTCGTGCCCCGATACTATGAAGCTTAAGTTCGATTGTATGCTTCGTGTGCTTATCACGGCCATCCTCCCATCGATTGAAGAGTTTTCAGAGCTTGAGAATTGTGGTTCCTCAGCCTCCATTTGAATGAATTCTGCAATGTTTAGTATCAACTGGTTCTCAAAGTCCCCATCATCCTTCTGAATATCCTTGTAGCCATACCTCACTATGCACCGATACATGCGATATGGTCTAGGACAGACCCTCCCAATGAGAAAACGTTCTTCGGGCGAGACATACGGAACAGGAACAGACTTTACGCACACGAAGACTAAAACTTTGTGAAACGCAGGGAGATTTGTCACAAAGTGAGAAAATATTGCGGGAACTCCTGTTGCCAATTCCGAGTATATGAGACCAATTCCCGGGACGCGAACTATACCAAGACTCGGGCCTAGTCCAAGCAACCACTTCAGTGAAACTTTATTGTGTAGATCAAAGTTGTACTTCTTGCGAGTGCCATAATGCCAGACGAACATAACAATCATAAAAAACGCTGACAGCACAAGCGGAACCCACCCTCCTTGAGGCACTTTTATGATTGCTGCTGATAAGTAGGCACCCTCGACAGACCAGAAGAAGATGATGAAAGGTGCAGCCAGCAGGATACTTTTTTGCCAAACGAATACAATGACAAGTGCCATAAGAAATGTCGTCGTGAACATAACTGTCATGCAAGCGAGTCCTGGACCACGAACAAAAAACACAATCATGTAGAGGAAAGGCGCAGTAGTTGCAAGCAGGAAGAAAAAAAAGGCATGTTTTCAGAGACATCAATTATGAGCACACTTGCAGATGCAGGTGTGAACGAGAGAGTCTAAAGCACTTACCGTAAGCATTTCCAATCATTGTCGTATCTTGAAACCCGATCGTAATGGAAAGAGTAAGGATCATTAATATCCAGTTTATTTCTGGGATGTAGATCTGCCCATATATGTGTTTAGAGGTGTGGACAACTTTCACTCTTGGAAAGCAACCAAGGGCATGGCATTGTTTGACAATAGAGAACGTAGCAGTAATGACAGCTTGGCTCCCCACAATAGCCGCCAGGGTAGCAATAATAAAAACAGGCCAAAACACAGCTTCTGCAAGAGGAAATAACGGCAATGACAGTGTTAAGATCAGAATACTTGAGATCCAAACCACTGTTAAGTAAACAAGACTGGTTAACTAACCAGGTATCGAGTCATAAAAACTGTTTGGAAACAAATGAAGGTTCTTAGACAGAAAGGCAGCTTGACCCATGTATTGTACTACCAAACAAGGGTAGATAATGAATACAAAAGCAAGCTGCAAAAGCAAAGAATCCGAATTAGTTGCTTAACAACTCGCTAGTCGTTGCTAAATGAGACGAGTAGTCAATGGCTCAAGGCACAGAGCCAAAATCAAGTCATTGTCACTATTGTATTCCAAATATCATTTTTTATTCAACGAGTGGAAAGAAAAAAGGAGCATACAATCAAACTTAAGCTTCATAGTATCAGGGCATGAAGAAGTTGGAACCAGCAATTATCTCTACCATATTTTTTATTCAATGAGTGGAAAAAAAAAGGTGAATAATAGAATATAGCTCCTATCCGCTACATAATGGAATTTGATTGCCTTAAAACACATATGGTCACACAAGCTCACCCTTATAGACAAAGCAGTGAAATGACCAAGATCTGCAAACATAGCTTCAGTACCTGAGGAAACCACATAAATTCCCATTAATCAGCTTGAAAACAAGCACCAAACTCAACTAATTGACAAGGACATGGCCCGTAATCCTAAGAAAAACGGAACTAAATACATATAGCAATTCCAGATTCCACATACCAGTTATGGCCAGAAGAACCCCTCCAAGAGAAAGCCAACCATCTTTACCGGTGACTCTTAAGAACTTGATAACATAATGAGGGGAAATTGCGTGTACAATACTTGGGTTCCAATGTATTATGTTGTACAAACCAATGGAGAAAATTGACAACAACCAGATGATAACTATTGGAGCAAACATAAACGCAACCTTATGGGTGCCACAATGCTGCAGAGCAAACAGACCAACCAATATGACACAAGCAATCAAAAGGAGTGTCCCTACAGTTCAGATCATCTTAAATGAGAATCAGAATATATGACAAAAGGCTTACTTAAGCATCACAGTTAGTCATAATCTATGAAAGGATAATAAATTACCATTGGACAATTTTGCTTCAGTAACTTTTAAACCTGAAACTGAGGATAGAACTGCAAGGCAAAGGACATAATATACATAAGACAAAAAAGTCTTAAGACAATGAAAACCAAAATCGTAAGCATTCCATCATTCGGTACCGGTACAGTAGTGAAAAATATATAATTGACGTAAGACACAAGCAAGATCGATCCTTTGGTCCAAGAAGAGAGTAGAAGTAAACAATGGCATGTAAAGATAACTTCCACTGAAGATTTTATTCTCCGTTTCAATTCAATAACTTATTTACTACAATTGAACAAGGATACAAGTAGAGCGGTGATATTGTAACATAGTGACATACATATCTCTAACCATAAATTCATGCCCACTTGCAACTTCATTTTAGAAATTTTAAAGAGCATTGTTCGTCAATGTTAACTTCTTTTATCTTTACTTCATGACAAACAATAGGTTGGCAAAGTCAGCCGTAGGTTCGATGGAACCTACGACTGAAAAATATTACTTAATAATGATCTATTGTAAAAAGTTGGTCAAAAGAACATATTCTTTGTTTTTAATGTAGCTTACACACTCAGATGTGCACAAGTCAGGCTGTAAATCAATTGTTATTCTAAAAAAAAAAAATGTGGCTCACACTCTAAAGAAGTAGGAAAAACATGTGTAGTTAGAGAACACGCACAATACATTCTACTGAAATCAGTAAACTGCCAGGAAACATGAAGATCCTTATACACCTATAGAGTCCTTGTGAATCTTACGTTTATGAAAAATAGTAAATACCTAACCTGAAATTGCAGGAGTCAGCACACCATCACCAATGACCATGCAAGCACCAAATAATACGACAAGAAGTAAGACCGTCCTAAGTGTTTTATGCCTTTCCAAAAACCTTTTTAGTGGAGAAGGGGCTACTACGTGAGAAGATGGTCCATATTTATAAGCTGAGAGCTCCTCATCAGCAGCTTGTTGGTTAGGAAGTAAACTCAACTTAGCATGTCGACAGAGGAGGGAATAAAGAGCAAAGGTTCCTCCTGAAACCAGAGAACAGATGGTAAACAAAAGAACCTTAAATGCTTAATTAAATTTCACATAAATGAATTAAGTTCTGCAATCCATATACCTTCACCATTGTCATCTGCGCTCAATACAATGAATACATACTTCAATAATGGTATCAGTGTAAGAGTCCAGAAGATCAAGGAAAATGCACCAAATACTACTTCCTCAGTTCGATGTGTCAGTA